TTTCAAGAAATGACTACGAAGTTCTAAGTTTGTCTGATTCAAGAAGAACTTCCATCACGATAGTTTTCACAAGTGTCGATAGATTTCTATTTCGCTGTACGCAAGTGTAGTAAATAAAAGAAATGAAAACGAATAAATTTATCAAGATTGGGGATATGAAACACAGTGTTCACCTTTGATTATGCAGATCATGTAAATTGTGATAACACTAATACCAGACAAATAGTTAAAGATTTTTCGTTCTCTCTTGTAATGAACCACTAGATAATGTTTCGATTCAAGTCGAAGTCAACTATTGTTGGTAGATAATAAAGATAAATGGTTGATGTCAGAGTAGGTATTAGACTGATTGTGATGCAGCCAGTACGCGTAAACTGTGCAAATCTCGTATAATAGTCTCTACAGCGATGGGTTGTTCGTAGTACGTACTGAAAGAGGTTGCGTCGTAGCTAGTGTAACAACGACAATGGGTATTTGTGGCCTTTAGAAAGGCCGTTTTTTGGTGCGGGCGAGCACGAAGGGTCCCCCTGAAGTGACTTAAGCACGCTCTCCGCGGATGCGGCGGGCTAGCTGGATGTCCTTGGGCATGATGGTGACTCGCTTGGCGTGGATTGCGCACAAGTTGGTGTCTTCGAACAGGCCCACCAAGTAGGCTTCGCTCGCCTCCTGTAGAGCCATCACGGCGGAGCTCTGGAAACGGAGGTCGGTCTTGAAGTCCTGAGCGATCTCACGGACCAGCCGCTGGAATGGCAGTTTGCGGATGAGCAGCTCGGTGCTCTTCTGGTAACGGCGGATCTCACGCAGGGCTACAGTTCCGGGCCTGTAACGGTGGGGTTTCTTGACACCTCCGGTGGCCGGTGCGCTCTTTCTGGCGGCTTTGGTTGCCAACTGCTTCCTGGGAGCCTTACCACCAGTGGACTTACGGGCTGTTTGCTTTGTTCGTGCCATGGCAATCTCTTTCGGAAGGTGCGAAAGCGAGAGAATGATGAACACGAGGGTTGGCGGGTGGGTCTCGACGGTTAGTGTTCCGCTTTCAATTGGCCAAAGGTCTCCACCAACGGGAGTTTACCTCTAGGTGACGAGACCTCTGGAAACCGAGTAACCGTCACATTTCGACTCGGCCAATCCAAGCTAATCGACATGACCGGACGCGGCAAAGGTGGTAAGGGGCTCGGTAAGGGAGGAGCAAAGCGTCATCGCAAGGTGTTGCGTGACAACATCCAGGCATAACCAAGCCGGCTATCAGGCGTCTCGCCCGTCGTGGTGGAGTCAAACGTATCTCAGGCCTGATATACGAGGAGACCCGAGGTGTTCTAAAAGTTTTCCTGGAGAACGTCATCCGTGACGCAGTCACCTACACTGAGCACGCCAAGAGAAAGACCGTCACCGCCATGGACGTGGTCTACGCTCTGAAACGCCAGGGCCGCACTCTGTACGGTTTCGGCGGTTAAGCTGCTCACCGATCCCTGTGGAGCTGTGTGCGGGACCATGTCGCACGCCCCACTCCCTAAAAACGGCCTTTATCAAGGCCACCAATATTGTCATTCGTTTTACACCCAAGCTTGTACGCTGTTTATATCTTACAATTTCATATCATTCCAACGCTTAAACAGACATGAAAAGCGTCATAACTCTTGTCACAATACAAACGATTCGATAGATTCGATACAACTAACTACCAACTGTTGACTGTTCAGTATAATTAAACGAACGTCAAGCTTGACTGTCAAGTGTTACGATAGAAGTACAAAACATTGAGTGCCAATCAACAAATTTACTACTAATTTTTATTACTCAAACCCTGACCAACGATCATTTTATTTTCACAATCAAAAAACTTCCTCGAACAAAAAAGCGTTAAAAATTAAACCGTGCGTTTTAGAGAGAAAACTCAGGATGTAAGAAATATAGGTATTTTCACGGCGAGTACGTCAGTTGAAATACGAGTTGAATAAGTAGAAATAGAAGAAGAAAAACAATCAAAATTAACGGTACGTATTTTGTTGGTGGCCATCAGGAAATTACGCCGCCGCTACTGATTCGGTTAGCAAGAAGGGAAAAAAAAATAAAGATCTTTATCTGAATCGGCGTGCACTCTGGACGTACCGTATAGGATACGAGGGAAACAATACAATACAATAAGGCCAGCATTAGAACGAGAGTGCGGTTTTTATGAAATAACTCGTAAACCGTGCGTTTTAGAGAGACAACACAGGTTAGATGAAATCGAGTAAAATACACGCCCAGTACGTTGACGCAATCGGATCTCGCGTATAAACACGCGTTTTCGAGTAACGAGCGATTAAAGTTTTTCGACTAAAGCTCTAATAAAACGGTCACGTGTCTTCGTAGGTGGTTTTTGCGCGTGCCAAACGTTAGAGGAGGTAAAGACGAAGAGAACGACACCCTTACGGTGTGTCTGGCATCAAAGATAACCTCCCTAGTGGGGTTTGAAGTTGTGGCCATTTGGCGGCGTCGGCGAAATCCTTTGATCGAGATAGATATATATAGCTCTGGCGGAGAAAAAGGGAGTGTTTTCAGTATATATGTGGGGGCGTGGCCAACTAGTGGCATACTATTGGTCGATTAGAGTGACCAACAGGACGAGCGGTTTCGTCTAGCGGACTCTGGCGTTTCTGTTTCGCCGTGGTGTAGTGGGATTTTGCCCGTAACTGAAGTCTTGGGCTTACCCGTGTGTTAAGAGTCACACTCGGTTGGTAAACAATGTCATACCCGGGTGGTATTATAAAAAAAAAAAGAAAATTTAATTTAATGACAGCCAATCTACGGGTAATATAATTGCATTGTGTTGATTCTGCAAATTTGTTTTTTGTTTGTATTTAATTTTAAAAATGTGGTACCTTCTATGACTTTTCTAAAACCTTATTCGGCTTTTCACTTTGACTTAACTTCTACAATTAAACGATCAAGAAATAAGAATTACTTCAAGATGGGACTTTCTATTCACAGTGATCATATCGTTAACGATCATTTCATAAAATGGATTTCATAACATCAAATCAAAACTTCTTAATTTATTTCATGCACATCGGTGCATATACATAGTGTCAAACAATTACATAAAAAATACATCAGTATTCAAACCTTAACTATTTAACACACAGTTTTTCCTCAAATATACTTTTAGTTCTTTTGTGAACAAATGTATAAAAACTCATCTAAAGAATAAATTGGTTCTTTTATTATGAATTCTTTGAGTTTGTTGTTAAAAATTTCAATATTCTTTTCAGACTCAACGGTTTTTGGTAAAACTTGGGTTTGTTTTTTCTTGTAAAATTTTTGAGTTGGGATTATTTCATTTTTATGTCTTGTATCATTGTACTTTTTGCATATGGAAGATTTAGAACTTACTGCTTCATTTTTAGAAATAATTAGTATGCAGTCATAGATGTATTGTCCATTTTTTTAACTGTGGGGATTTTAAAATTAACTTTTGTAGTGTGAGTAATAAAAAAAATAATAAAAAAATGAACGCGATTCATACATGTTTTTAACAAATTTCCCTAAATTTACCTACCCAACCTAACCAAACCCAAAGCAAATGTTAGGTTAGGCCAACTCAAATCATTTGGTTATGATATGTTAGTTTAGACTAGGTGAGGTTCTAGTCAAGGTAATAACCTAACCTAACTTAATATAGCATAACATAAAACAACCTAACCAAACCTAAAATAAACAAATAATTGTAGTTTAGCTAACCTGAATTAAATGGCTTGGGTTAAATTAGGCGAGTTTGTGTTTGGTAAGGCTTGGTTCTAGCCAAACTGATAATTAAACCTAACCTAAACCAAACAAATGGTTGTAGTTGAAATGACCTCATACAAATTGGTTAGGTTAGGTGAGTTTAGGTTCGGTTAGGCTTGGTTCCAGCCAACCTAACTTAATTTAATTTAACATAACCTAATTCAATTCACCCTAACCTAACCTTACCTAACCTAACCCAACCTAACCTAACCTAACCTTAACCAACCTAACCGAAACAAATGATTGCTGTTGAAATAACCTAAATTAAATTGGTTACGTTAGGTGAGTTTATGTTTGGTAAGGCTTCCTAACATAGCATAACCTAACCTAAACAAATGATTGTAGTTGACATGACCTATATCAAATATGGTTAGGTTAGGTGAGTTAGGTTTTGGTTCGGTTAGGCTTGGTTCCAGCCAACCTAACTTAATTTAATTTAACATAACCTAATTTAATTTAACCTAACCTAACCCAACCTAACCTAACCTAACCTAACCTAACCTAACCTAACCTAACCTTAACCAACCTAACCAACCTAACCGAAACAAATGATTGCTGTTGAAATAACCTAAATTAAATTGGTTACGTTAGGTGAGTTTATGTTTGGTAAGGCTTGGTTCTAGCCAAACTGATAATTAAACCTAATTTAATTTAACCCAACATAACCTAATTTAATTTAACCTAACCTAACCTAACCTTACCTAACCTAACCTTACCTAACCTAACCTAACCTTACCTAACCTAACCTAACCTAACCTAACCTTACCCAACCTAACCTAAACAAATTATTGTAGATGAGATGACCTATATCAAATATGGTTAGGTTAGGTTAGGTTAGGTGAGTTAGGTTTTGGTTCGGTTAGGCTTGGTTCCAGCCAACCTAACTTAATTTAATTTAACATAACCTAATTTAATTTAACCTAACCTAACCCAACCTAACCTAACCTAACCTAACCTAACCTAACCTAACCTTAACCAACCTAACCAACCTAACCGAAACAAATGATTGCTGTTGAAATAACCTAAATTAAATTGGTTACGTTAGGTGAGTATATGTTTGGTAAGGCTTGGTTCTAGCCAAACTGATAATTACCTAACCTAATTTAATTTAACCCAACATAACCTAATTTAATTTAACCTAACCTAACCTAACCTTACCTAACCTAACCTTACCTAACCTAACCTAACCTTACCTAACCTAACCTAACCTAACCTAACCTAACCTTACCCAACCTAACCTAAACAAATTATTGTAGTTGAGATGACCTAAATTGAATTGTTTAGGCTTGGTTCTAGCCAAACTAATAATTTTACCTAACCTGACCTAACCTAACGTAACCTGATTCAATTTAACCCAAACAAATGACTTAGGCTAAAAAAAACCTAACAACACGTTGGGTCGGGTTGGGTTAGTTCGGGTTGGACGAGGTTAGGTTCCTTAACGTAACCTAATTTAATTCAACCTAACCTAACGTAACCTTATTTAATTTGACCTAACCTAACCGAATCTAACCTTACCAAACACTTTAAGTTGACATAACATAACAACGCGTTGGGTTAGGTTAGGTTGAATTGGCCAGAACCTTACCCAACGCATTGTTAGATTATGTCAACGTAACTCTTGAAGTGCCAATTGCCGCAATTACGGCGACGTTGTAGGCTTTCTGTTTCGTTCGATAGATATAACGTTCCCAGTAACAGTGCATTCTTAATGTATTCAGCAGATACTAGTTCATGACAACCAATTTCGTCTATTGTTGTCATTTATACTTCGTTTTAGTGTTGACTCATAAAAAAAACAACAACAAAAACCTACGTGTAGCCTACTTACTCCGTCATGGATAGATAACAACTTACAAAACAATTCTCGAATTGTATATAAATGTTTTCTTTCTTGAATGTGTATTTGTTTCTGACTCACACACAAAAATACAACATATTAACTATATCGTCTCAAAAAAACAAATTATTTCTACCCACGGCACATGTGATTTACCAATTGTGCGACTATGCCATGACTGATGTCGCGTTAAGAGTACACCTACAACTACTTCAGTAACACACAAGTTAAGTCTGTTATTATATAACACGAACATTATTTTGTTGGTTTTTTTTTTATTATTTGCTAAAATAAACCAACTAATCTAATAAACAACATCGAAATTTGGTATTATGAATTTACACACACTGACAACCGTTGTTCGGGTAACGTCTCGAGTTGTGTCTAAGACGCGGCGGACATAAGTGGCTGGTGTTGGAACTGACGGATCGCTCAACATGCAGTAGCTGATTTTGTTTAATCCAATGTTTCGCTTAGCCTTATTATCGCTCTTTACATCAATCAAAAGTAGCAAATTCGGATTACAAACGTTTTTATAGCTGCTTACAGTGTTGCGTGTGGGTACTGTCGCAGAGACGACACTATTCAACACGCCATAAAGCGATGTCTATGTCTTGGAATCCACACACCCGGTTACACCAATTAGTAATGTACAGTTTTAAATGAAAACGGAATCTTCATAATTTTTCTTTTCTTTCGAAAAAACCAACTATTAATTGTAAATTTTCCAAAACAACCGTTTGCTAAAGTCTTGAGAGAAACGTCCACCAAGCATATTCTGTACGGTACGTAGGTCAGGGGGCAGAATCACAATTCATACCGGGACAAATTTAGAGAATCCTCGGTCAATTCAACGATGGCAGACTCGGCAACTAGTGCACCGGCCCCGGCCACAGCTACACCCAAGAAATCCAAGGCGGCGGCGGCAAGCAAGAAACCCCGCGTTAAGCCTGCACACCCCCCTACATCTGACATGGTCAACGCGGCTATCAAGAACCTGAAGGAGCGTGGAGGTTCCAGCCTGCAGGCCATCAAAAAATACATCGCTGCCAACTACAAGGTAGACGCTGAGAAGTTGGCGCCGTTTATCCGCAAGTACCTCAAGTCTGCAGTGGCATCCGGCACTCTCACCCAGCCGAAAGGCAAGGGCGCGTCCGGATCTTTCAAGCTCTCTGTCAAGGGAGAAGGCAAGACTGCGTCTGCAGGCAAGAAGCCAGCGAAAAAGCCCGCTGCTGCCAAGCCGAAAGGGGAGAAGAAACCTAAGGTGACCGCTGCGAAGAAAACACCCAAGAAGGCAGCCGCAGCCAAACCCAAGGCCGCTAAGGTGGCCAAATCTCCTAAGGCGAAGAAGGTCTCCAAGCCACCGACCAAGAAGCCGAAATCTCCAAAACCCAAGAAGGCTGCGGTGAAGAAACCGAAAACGCCAAAGAAGGCAGCGGCCAAGAAGAAGTAAGAAGCCAAAACCTGCCAGAGCTCCTTCGAAAACGGCCTTTATAAAGGCCACCAACAATCTCACTCGTAATTAACTGTTGCTTTTCGCCAGACCCTAGGATCGCAGGCTCCAATGTTGGTCCAGCGGCAACATAGAAGAAGAAAAGTAAAGTACAATTAATTGGCTTGTCATTACAATTAGTAATGAATTATATAAATTGCCGTACGTATAATACTTAGTGACTCTCATAACACTATTATTGACATGACAACTATTAAAGTAGCATAAATAAAAAAGACCAATAAAAATAAACAATGTGAGCGAATAAACAATATGCTTGCAAGCAACTGCTCGACATCAATTTATTACCAATACGGTTAAACACTACAGGCTTAAAATAACATCACACAACCACAGCATGGCGCGATGTAACAGTCATAAAACAAAAAAAAATAAAAAATAAAAAGAAATTAAATAAGCTGTAAGTGCACTTTGAGAGTATAACTGAAAACAAACTACTACAATCAAACTGTAACAGAATCAAGCACACATGACAATACGATCGATATATAAGCGTATAAATAAATATATATATATATATATATATATATACATATTTACTTGCATAGTTAGGGCAACTCATGAAATAAAAGATATAAAAAAAGAACTGTAATAAAGTACCCTTTAATAATTAACTCTTATATACGTAAACAAAAGTTTAATTAAATAAACGGTATCAGCATTCTGACACATACTTTCTTCGATAAGTTTGTCAACAACCTTTATCATGTGTAAGCGGTATATACGGAAATGGGATTTGTACAGTTTTGTTCAGAATTTTTAGGTTTATAACGTACTAAGTTTTTTTTTAAACAAAATCGTTCGGGCCATTTTTGGGAAAATCCGATTTTTCCGTTTTTTGTTTTTTTTGCGTTTTTATGGGAAAATCCCTATTAAAAATCGAAAACGATTTTATTTTTATTTATTTATTTTTTTTTTTTGTGTGTGTCCAGGGGTCCAGGACTCAAAACTTAAACTCGAAAATTTGGAAGAAAACAATACTTTCTCCATACTACGGTATAGGGGGAGAAAGTAAAAAAGGGTACTTGGTGAACAACGTTTATGATTTTGGATTGAATTTATTCTGATTTCTTTAATTGAATTTGATGTGGATAATTGATTTGTTATTGATAAAAATATCCTTGTAAATAATTTCAAGAAATGACTACGAAGTTCTAAGTTTGTCTGATTCAAGAAGAACTTCCATCACGATAGTTTTCACAAGTGTCGATAGATTTCTATTTCGCTGTACGCAAGTGTAGTAAATAAAAGAAATGAAAACGAATAAATTTATCAAGATTGGGGATATGAAACACAGTGTTCACCTTTGATTATGCAGATCATGTAAATTGTGATAACACTAATACCAGACAAATAGTTAAAGATTTTTCGTTCTCTCTTGTAATGAACCACTAGATAATGTTTCGATTCAAGTCGAAGTCAACTATTGTTGGTAGATAATAAAGATAAATGGTTGATGTCAGAGTAGGTATTAGACTGATTGTGATGCAGCCAGTACGCGTAAACTGTGCAAATCTCGTATAATAGTCTCTACAGCGATGGGTTGTTCGTAGTACGTACTGAAAGAGGTTGCGTCGTAGCTAGTGTAACAACGACAATGGGTATTTGTGGCCTTTAGAAAGGCCGTTTTTTGGTGCGGGCGAGCACGAAGGGTCCCCCTGAAGTGACTTAAGCACGCTCTCCGCGGATGCGGCGGGCTAGCTGGATGTCCTTGGGCATGATGGTGACTCGCTTGGCGTGGATTGCGCACAAGTTGGTGTCTTCGAACAGGCCCACCAAGTAGGCTTCGCTCGCCTCCTGTAGAGCCATCACGGCGGAGCTCTGGAAACGGAGGTCGGTCTTGAAGTCCTGAGCGATCTCACGGACCAGCCGCTGGAATGGCAGTTTGCGGATGAGCAGCTCGGTGCTCTTCTGGTAACGGCGGATCTCACGCAGGGCTACAGTTCCGGGCCTGTAACGGTGGGGTTTCTTGACACCTCCGGTGGCCGGTGCGCTCTTTCTGGCGGCTTTGGTTGCCAACTGCTTCCTGGGAGCCTTACCACCAGTGGACTTACGGGCTGTTTGCTTTGTTCGTGCCATGGCAATCTCTTTCGGAAGGTGCGAAAGCGAGAGAATGATGAACACGAGGGTTGGCGGGTGGGTCTCGACGGTTAGTGTTCCGCTTTCAATTGGCCAAAGGTCTCCACCAACGGGAGTTTACCTCTAGGTGACGAGACCTCTGGAAACCGAGTAACCGTCACATTTCGACTCGGCCAATCCAAGCTAATCGACATGACCGGACGCGGCAAAGGTGGTAAGGGGCTCGGTAAGGGAGGAGCAAAGCGTCATCGCAAGGTGTTGCGTGACAACATCCAGGGCATAACCAAGCCGGCTATCAGGCGTCTCGCCCGTCGTGGTGGAGTCAAACGTATCTCAGGCCTGATATACGAGGAGACCCGAGGTGTTCTAAAAGTTTTCCTGGAGAACGTCATCCGTGACGCAGTCACCTACACTGAGCACGCCAAGAGAAAGACCGTCACCGCCATGGACGTGGTCTACGCTCTGAAACGCCAGGGCCGCACTCTGTACGGTTTCGGCGGTTAAGCTGCTCACCGATCCCTGTGGAGCTGTGTGCGGGACCATGTCGCACGCCCCACTCCCTAAAAACGGCCTTTATCAAGGCCACCAATATTGTCATTCGTTTTACACCCAAGCTTGTACGCTGTTTATATCTTACAATTTCATATCATTCCAACGCTTAAACAGACATGAAAAGCGTCATAACTCTTGTCACAATACAAACGATTCGATAGATTCGATACAACTAACTACCAACTGTTGACTGTTCAGTATAATTAAACGAACGTCAAGCTTGACTGTCAAGTGTTACGATAGAAGTACAAACATTGAGTGCCAATCAACAAATTTACTACTAATTTTTATTACTCAAACCCTGACCAACGATCATTTTATTTTCACAATCAAAAAACTTCCTCGAACAAAAAAGCGTTAAAAATTAAACCGTGCGTTTTAGAGAGAAAACTCAGGATGTAAGAAATATAGGTATTTTCACGGCGAGTACGTCAGTTGAAATACGAGTTGAATAAGTAGAAATAGAAGAAGAAAAACAATCAAAATTAACGGTACGTATTTTGTTGGTGGCCATCAGGAAATACGCCGCCGCTACTGATTCGGTTAGCAAGAAGGGAAAAAAAAATAAAGATCTTTATCTGAATCGGCGTGCACTCTGGACGTACCGTATAGGATACGAGGGAAACAATACAATACAATAAGGCCAGCATTAGAACGAGAGTGCGGTTTTTATGAAATAACTCGTAAACCGTGCGTTTTAGAGAGACAACACAGGTTAGATGAAATCGAGTAAAATACACGCCCAGTACGTTGACGCAATCGGATCTCGCGTATAAACACGCGTTTTCGAGTAACGAGCGATTAAAGTTTTTCGACTAAAGCTCTAATAAAACGGTCACGTGTCTTCGTAGGTGGTTTTTGCGCGTGCCAAACGTTAGAGGAGGTAAAGACGAAGAGAACGACACCCTTACGGTGTGTCTGGCATCAAAGATAACCTCCCTAGTGGGGTTTGAAGTTGTGGCCATTTGGCGGCGTCGGCGAAATCCTTTGATCGAGATAGATATATATAGCTCTGGCGGAGAAAAAGGGAGTGTTTTCAGTATATATGTGGGGGCGTGGCCAACTAGTGGCATACTATTGGTCGATTAGAGTGACCAACAGGACGAGCGGTTTCGTCTAGCGGACTCTGGCGTTTCTGTTTCGCCGTGGTGTAGTGGGATTTTGCCCGTAACTGAAGTCTTGGGCTTACCCGTGTGTTAAGAGTCACACTCGGTTGGTAAACAATGTCATACCCGGGTGGTATTATAAAAAAAAAAAGAAAATTTAATTTAATGACAGCCAATCTACGGGTAATATAATTGCATTGTGTTGATTCTGCAAATTTGTTTTTTGTTTGTATTTAATTTTAAAAATGTGGTACCTTCTATGACTTTTCTAAAACCTTATTCGGCTTTTCACTTTGACTTAACTTCTACAATTAAACGATCAAGAAATAAGAATTACTTCAAGATGGGACTTTCTATTCACAGTGATCATATCGTTAACGATCATTTCATAAAATGGATTTCATAACATCAAATCAAAACTTGACAACGACAACACTTTAAGTTGACATAACATAACCGTGTTAAAGTCGTTTATTCCCTCAACATCTACATTACGATTGGTATAGTTTTTCCTAGCAGGTTTGTGCAGCTCTTCCGCTATGCCTTCCATGGTGAAAATTATGTATATTAACACCGGTTACGTATAATATAGCTTTGTTTTGGATAGGGTTTGAGACTATCCCCTCATTAAGTGAGGCCAGGTTAAGCGTTTATAGCCAGTCCAGATTACCTGGTAGTCGCTATAAACGCCCTCTCCCTTACTTTAACAAAGCTTTTTTTGTCAAGTCTATAGATTTAGTTATAACAGTTATACCAAGATCCCTTCGAGCATCCTCTGCTCTCTGAGAGTCTTCTCTCAATCCTTTTACCTTGCATAATAATAGAAAATGTGCTTCATAATCGTCCCACCTACTAGACTCATCATAGCTTTGACATTTGAACTTCTCTATCTTTGATTGTAATGTGTCTTCTTTAGTTTCATACTTATCTTCTTCGTTGAAATAACTATTTCTTCTTTTGGTTCGTTTACTCATCGTCGCCAATATAGAATTACACTAAAAGATATTTATGATACACAAGAACCATTTTATTTAATTCTTAAACACATCAATGTAAACAGAATATTTACTAACAAACAATAATAAATCAGCTAATGAATTATTTTTTTTTTTTTTTTTTTTTTTGATAGGTAGGTGGAATGCGTTACGCACTTCCCGATACGTTGAGCGCACCTCCTGGAGCGCCCGACGTGCCGGGGGAGTGTGGGACTCCTACGGGTTTCACCGTAGTTTACCCACTAAACCACCTACCCCCTCCCTGTCCTTGCTCCCGGGAGGGCGGTCGCAGCGTAGCAGGCTGGTGCTGTGCTGCTTGAAGATCTTGCTGGGGTTGTCATCTCTAGTAGGGGTCTCTCAGGCGGGGCGGCGGGTGACGCGTCGTTCTCCGCTGGTTCTGGGGGTTGGCTTCTCGAAGTACTCTCCTTCGTAGCTCAACCGAGGGTGGCCGCTCGTCAGAATTTGTCCCGGTTTTTTTTTTTTTTTTTTTTTTTTTTTTTGATAGGTAGGTTGAATGCGTTACGCACTTCCCGATACGTTGAGCGCACCTCCTGGAGCGCCCGACGTGCCGGGGGAGTGTGGGACTCCTACGGGGGACGCGGAAAGGTCGCCCCCAGAAACATCACCCCCCTACGTCATATTGACGTCAGAGACCGGGGGGTGATGTTTCCGGCCGCGGACATTCAATTTCAGTTGCAGCATGCACTCTTCGATATGACGAGTTATTTTAGAGTTTGCGTATTAATTATATAATTATATCCACTTATCATATACAATTACCAGATTTTCTAATTACAAATTTAGGTTAACCGGATACGTTACCCCCGATCGTTTTCAAAATGTACACCCCGGAAAGGTCCCCCCCTGCCATGATCACCCCCGGTATACCTGCTGTAGGGCTTGGGCCCGTGGGTTGAGTAGTATTTGCGCCGAGTAGTATTTGCGCCGCGTAGCACCAGCGCCGCGCCAGCTAATTAAATGAGGGTTAGCAGTTTTGACAGGTTAACAAAGGCGGAACCAATCAACTGCACTAATAGGATTATTGAGGACTTATGTTCCTACCACATTTTACTTTCAGCGTAAAGTGGTTGCATGCAGTCACCTCGTGACCCATAATTTTAAATCTAATACGCCTAACTGCAAAATTGATGACACCAAAAATATCTGCAAATATTGTTCACTGGTTGACAACAATACACAGTACACTCCGCCGTTTCAGTATAAGAGCTACCTAAAACCAATTAATTACCAATAACTCAAAAGAGAGGAAATTACGAAAAAAATAGTTTGTTTCTGTACCAGGTTTGGTAGTAATACATTGCGCTTCGTGAAGCCTGGGAGTTGACAGGCCTTATATCAATTTAAGTTTATCTTAAGTCTAGAAATACAAGTACATATTAAGTTTACAAAATAACTCTCTAAAACGTGTAGTGGCAATACCAGAAAGATACCCCACTTTAGGTGTTTTCCCCATAAAAATAACGTGGGGATCATTTTTTAGCCACTTATTCCAAAAATCCTGATCTTTGCCTACATATCCCTACATATAATCCTCATATACTATATTAGAAATCAAGCTAAAAAAGCTAATTCTTTCATTTATTGACCCATTAAATGTAAAGGAGGTATACTATAGTAATATGACCTCACTTTAGGCACTTTTTCTCCATAAGAATAACATGGGTGAGTTTTTTTAGCCATTTTCTAAAAACCCTGCTTTGGGCCTATACAAGCTCATGCAAATGTTCAATACTATTGTACAACTCAATAAACATTACAAATCCCCATCCATTCCCACGAATATTTTAAAAATCATCAACTTGACGGTGCGAGGTTTGCACGTGAACTCGGGCGCGCTCCCGGCCTATGCTTATCGCTTCTCGTGCGATTTTGATTAAATTTGGCATGAAAATTGAATCACCTTGATTAAGTTTACGAACCACCGATATCGGAATGAAACCTGTTGTTATTTACCTACACATATAGGTATAATATAAATAAATTAACGATACTTACGTCTTCTGTACCATAATGTTAAATTCGCAAAAAATTGATGTTTTTAAGATTAATCAGTGTGGCAGATTGCGTGTAATAAATATAAAGGTTACTTACAGTCTTCGCAATCCTGTTAATTGAGCACTACGGCCGTTTCGGAGATAACTCCATCGTCGGGTGCGTAGTCATTATACACTAATCTGAGCTATTTACATATTTACATTTTTTACGTGGTTTCTTCATTTTCATTGCGTCAAAGTTTAATAAATAGTACATGCACAAAACACGAACACGACACGAAAACATTAGGCATGTGCACGGCTAAAAACTGACGACCGACTGATCGAACTTTAACT